TACCTGTCTGATTCTTGCTTTGGAAGCTTCCTCTCAGGGGTGTACTCCACCGTGTGAGGTGTGGAGTGTCGGTCTGCCCCTAGTGGGGGATGTCTCCCAGTTAGGCTACTCAGGGGTCAGGGACCCACTTGAGCAGGCAGTCTGTCCGTTCTCAGATCTCAACCTCTGTGTTGGGAGGTCCACTCCTCTCTTCAAAGCTGTCAGACAGAGTCGTTTGTGTCTGCAGAGGTTTCAGCTGCTTTTTTGTTGTTGTTATTGTTGTTGTTGTTTAGCTGTGCCCTGTCCCCAGAGGTGGAGTCTACAAAGACAGGCAGGACTCCTTGAGCTGCTGTGAGTTCCACCCAGTTTGAGCTTCCCAGCGACTTTGTTTACCTACTTAAGCCTCAGCAATGGCAGGTGCCCCTCCCCAAGCCTCGCTGCTGCCTTGCCTGGAGATCACAGACTGCTGTGCTAGCAATGAGGGAGGCTCTGTGGGCGTGGTACCCTCCCGGTCAGGTGTGGGATATAATCTCCTGGTGTGCCCGTGTGCTAAGATCCTTGGTAAAGCGCAGTATTGGGGTGGGAGTTACCTGATTTTCCAGGTGTTGTGTGTCTCAGTTCCCCTGGCTAGGAAAAGGGATTCCCTTCCCCCTTGTGCTTCCCAGGTGAGGCGATGCCTCGCCCTGCTTCAGCTCTTGCTGGACGGGCTGCAGCAGCTGACCAACACTGATTGTCCCGCACTCCCTAGTGAGGTGAACCCAGTACCTCAGTTGAACATGCAGAAATCACCTGTCTTCTGTGTCGCTTGCGCTGGGAGTTGGAGACTGGAGCTGTTCCTATTCGGCCATCTTGCTCCACCCTACCTATCTCATTTCCATTATTGATGCCTTTTTTTCCTTTCTTTGCTTTCTTACATTGGCTATAACCTTAAATGCAATGTTGAATAAAAATATCAAGACCATCTTTACCTCCTTCCTGATTTTAGAGGGAAAGCATTCAGTCCTTCACTATTAAGTATGATGTTAGCTGTAGACTTTTCCATGAATACCTTTTATCAGATTGTGGAAGTCTTCTTCTATTTTTAGTTTGCTGGGAGTTTTAGTTAGGAAAAGACATTGGAATTGTCAACATCAAATGCATTTTCTTTAAAATTTTGGTTTTAATATGGTGAATTATGTTGACTGATTTTCAAATGATAAACCAGCCTTGAATTCCTGGAATTAACTCCACTGGATCATGATATATTGTCCATTTTATGTAATGTTGAATTTGATATGCTAAAATTTTGTTTAGAACTTCTATATCTGTGTTCATGAAGCATATTGGTCTTTAGTTTTTGTTGTTGTTGTTGTGTTAAGAAAACTTCACATAAAACCTACCCTCTTAAATAAGTTTTTAAGTGCACATAGACTATTGTAAACTATAAACCCAAGGTTGTACAACAGATCTCTAGAATGTGTTTGTCTTGCATAGCTGAAACTTTGTACCCACTGAGCATCAATTCCCCATTTCTTTCCTTCCCGGACTCTGGCAACCATCATTCTACTCTCTGCTTCTATGAATGTAACCATTTTAGATACCTTATATAAGTTGAGTCATGAAGTATGTGTCCTTCTGTGACTAGCTTATTTCACTTAGCATAATGTCCTCCAGGTTCATCCATGTGGTCACACATGACATGATTATTTTTTAAGGTTGAATATTATTCCATGGTGTATATACCACATTATCTGTTCATCCATTGATGGAGATTAAGGTTGTTTTGATGTGTTGGCTAATGTGAATAATGCTGCAATAAACATAGGAGATTGAATATCAATTTGAGATTCTGATTTCAATTCTTTGGGATATATACCAGAAGTGGGATTACTGGATCATATGGTGGTTCTATTTTTAATTCTTTAAGGAGTCTATATACTGCTTTCCATAGCAGCTGCACCAGTTTACAATCCCACCAACAGTGCACAAGGGTTCCAATTTCTTCACATCCTCACCAACGTTTATCTTTTCTTTTTTTAATAATTGCCATCCTAACAGGTGTGAGGTGATATCTCATTTGCATTCTCTAGACGACTAGTCACGTTGAGCATCCTTCATATACCTGTTGTCCATTTATATGTCTCTTTTTGAGAAATGTCTATCCAGTCTTTTGTCCATTAAATGTACTTTTTCTTGCTATTGTGTTGCAGGAGTTCCCTATATACTTTTTATATTAACCTTCTATCAGATATATGGTTTGCAGACATTTTATATCATTCAGTAGGTTGCTTTTCCATTTTGTTGTTTGCTTAGCTGTGCAGAAACTTTTTAGTTTTATGTAGTTCTACTTGTCTATTTTTGCTTTTGCTGCTTGTGTTTTGCTGTCATATCTAACAAATCATTGCTAAGACCAATATTATGAAGTTTTCCCCCAACGTTTTCTTCTAGGCATTTTACAGTTTATGAATTTGTAAAATTTTAGGGGCTGAAAAATTACATTTAAATCTTAAATCAATTTTAATTGATTTTCCGGTGTAAGGTAATGGTCCAAAGTCATTCTTTTACATGTGTATATGCAGTTTTCCCAACATCATTTGTTGAAGAGATTGACCTTTCCCCACTGTGCTTTGTTGGCACCCTTGTTAAAGATCAGTTGACTGTATATGCATACCTTTATTTCCAGGCTTTCTGTTATATTGATCTATAGATCTTTTTTATACCAGTACCATACTGTTTTAATTACTGTTGCTGGGCATCCTTTCTTAGTCCTAATCTTAGAGGAAAAGCTTTCAGTTATTCACCATTGAGTACAATGTTAGCTGTGGGCTTGTCATTTATGGCCTTTATTATGTTTTGCAAATTCCCTCTACATTAGCTTTTTGAGAGTATAATTATTTAGTTATAGTATTCATTAGATTACAAAAGTTTTGAATTTCATTAAATACTTTTTCTGCATCTATTGAAATGATCACATGATTTTAAAATTCATCATTCTGTTAGTGTGATCTATCACATTAATTGATTTGCATATGTTGAGCCATCCTTGCATCCCAGGGATAAATCTCATTTGGTCTTAGTGTGTGATCCTTACATTTCTAAGAATCTACTCATTTCTTAAAGATTATCCAATTTGTTGATATATACTTGTTAATAACTATCTTTTATGATTCTTCCTATCTCTTTGTATCAGTTGTAATGTCTCCTCTTTAATTTCTGACATTATTTGAGAGTCCTCTGTTTTTGCTAGTCTAAGGGTTTGTCAATTTTATCTTGTTAAAACTTCAACTCAATTTCATTGGTATTTTTCTACAATTTTTCTTTTTCTTTTTTTCCTTTTTTTTTGTTTGTTTTCTTGAGGCAGGGTCTCTCTCGTTTTTGTTTGTTTTTTTTTTCTTTTTTTTTTTAGAAAAAAACGCAGAGCTTTATTATTTTCAACACTAATGGCAGCGGTCTTCATAGGACAGGAGAGTGAGTTCTGTCGATGGATAGGCAGCCCCTACTTGCCGGCAATGAGCGAGTTCCGCAGGACCACGACGACCGAGTCCTGGCGCAGGAACATCTTGGAGATGTAGCGGTCTTTGTTGACTGGCTTGGATTTCTTCTTTCCCTTGCCGCTCTTAGGGACTTCAGTCCACATCTCCTTCACGTTCTCCAGCACCATGCTGCAGTGCCTATCGAAGGCCTTCACCCGGCCCAGGAGTTTCTTATTGTTGCGACAGTTGATGAGCACTTGGGTGTTATTCTTGACTGACTGTGTGAGCACAGAGAGTGGACCCGTGTGAAATTCCTCCTCCTCTCGCTTCTGCAGCTCCTCTGGGGTCATCTCACTCTTGGGCTTGTTGAGGAGGCTCATGATGGTCACTAAGCTCTCCGTTCACTCCCGTTTCCTCCGCGTTGCTGCTGCCTGAGGAGGGGGCAAGGTCTCTCTCTCTGATCCAGGCTGGAGTGCAGTGGCACGAGCACAGCTCATTGCAGCCTTGACATCCCAGGCTGAAGTGATCTTCCTACCTCAGCCTCATAACTAGCCGGGATCACAGGCAGAAGACATCATGCCTGGCTAATTACATTTTTTTTTTTTTTGGTAGAAACAGAGTCTTGCCATGTTGCCCAGGCTGGTCTCAGACTCGTGAGCTCAGGTTATCCTCCTGCCTCAACTTCCCAAAGTGCTGAGTTTACACGTGTGAGTTGCCTTGCCTGACCTCTATTCTTTATTGTGTTCAATTCTGGTCTAATCTTTAAGGTTTTCTTTCTTCTGCTGACTTTGGGTTTAGTTTGTTCTTTTTTTCTTGTAATGTCTTTGTCTGGCTTTGGTATCAGAGCAGTGCTGGATTCATGGAATGTGATGAAGGTTATTCCTTCCTATAGAATTTAAATGTTTTGTAGAATTCACTAGCAAAACTATCTGGACCTGTGGTCCTGTGGTTTTGGGTTTTTTGTTTTGGGTTGTTTTATGTTTGTTTGTTTGTTTTGGTGGTGAGGTTAGGAAGGTTTTAAAGTACAAATTCTCTTTCTTTAATATGTACAGGGATATTCAGATCATCTTATCTATTTCTTCTTAGGAAGCATTGCTCATTTGTAACTTTTGAGAAATCCTAACCCATTTCCTCTAACTTGCCAGAATTATTGGCATAAAACTGCTAATAATATTAGCTTATTTTCCTTTTGATATTTGTGGAATATGTAGTGCTGTCATTCTCTTATTCCTGATACTGGTAATTTGTGCCTTTTATTCTTTCTTTGTATGCTCTATTTTGGATAGTTTCTATTGCAGTACATTCAAGGTCATAAATCGTTTCTCTTTTCTTTTACTATGTCTCATCTACCATTAATTTCAGACATTGTTGTTTTCAGCTCTAGTAGTTTGATTTGGTTCTTTGAAAATATATACATATCCCTTCTATGTCTTCGTCTAACTTTTAGAAGAAACGGGATATAGCTTTAAAAAAGTGTTTTAATGTCCTTGTATTATAATTCTATCATCTATGTCACTTCTGAAAGTTTCAATTACTTAATTTTTTTCATTCCTAATTATTTGTTATATTTTCTTGCTTTTTGACATACCCAGTCATATTTGTTTCAATTTCAGGCATCTTGAATTTTACTTAGCTGGGTGCTGGACGTTTTTGTATACCTATAGACCTTCGTAAGCTTTTTTCCTTCCCTGGGGTATGGTTACATCATTTAGAAACAGTTTGATCCTGGAGGACTCATATGGTTAGGCTTCATGTCCCCACCTGAATCTCATCTTGAATTATAATTCCCATAATCCCCACGTGCCAAGGGAGAGACCAGGTGAAAGCAATTGAACTGTGGGGTGGTTTCCTCCATGCTGTTCTCGTGACAGTGAGTGAGTTCTCATGAGATCTAATCATTTTATAAATGTTTGGTAGTTCTTCCTGCATTCCTTCTTCTTCCTGCCACCTTGTGACGAAGGTGCTTTGCTTCCCCTTCACCTTCCACCATGATTGTAAGGTTCCTGAGGCCTCGCCAGCCATGCTGAACTGTGAGTCAATTAAACCTCTTTCCTTTATAAGTCACTTTTATAAGTTCTTTATAGCAGTGTGAAATTCTCTAATATAAGGACTTAACTTTTAAAATTTGTTAAGTGGGACCAAATCTGTGCTTAATTGAGAGCTAATTTCTGGTCTTGTGAGAATACTGACTAATGTTCCTTCTAATCCTTTCAAATAGTTCATTCCTGGGCCATAGGTTGTTTCATTACATGTGCTTCTCAGTACTTTGCTAAATATTCAAGAGTGTTCTATGGTAGTTCTCTGTAGTCCTTTTGGTCTGATTCTCTGTTCTGTGAACTCAGGTGGCTTTGGTCTTCCCAACTTTCAACTCTGTCTCAACTCAGAGAGCCTACTGAGTTCTGCTTAGGTTTTACCTTCCTGCACTGCAGACCTGAAACTCTCTTAAGCTATTAGGCTGGGCAATCATAGGACTCACCTTGCTTGTTTCTTATCTTTTAATGATCAGTATTCTTTGTTGTCCATTGCCCAGCAAAGTGAAACTATGATCTCACATGTTTTGTCCAGTTTTTTGTTTGTTTGTTTGTTTTTTGTTGTTGTTCTTATAGGTGGCTGGGTAAATCCAGCCCATACCCTTCCATCTTGGTTGGGAACAGGGGTTCTCCTTCCTTCTTGCAACAAACATTTATGTACCAAACAATGTGATTTTCCTTAGAACATTATAATATCACTTTTGCAGTGGTTGAAAGAAAAATATTATTGTTGATAGAGTGGGCCAATAGTATGCACAATCAGCTATTGTGATCTGGTAGTAATACCAAAAATCCTTTTAAAAATAAAGAAATCAGAGCTTAGTTATCTATAATGTTGATTCTAAAAGGTTATGACTCTTCATGGAACATAACCCAGGCTCCATCTTACATTTCTTCATATACTAGCTGTGGGACAGTGTGTTACACTAGCTGTGGGACACAGGTCTCCAGGCCTTCATTTTTTCATCTAGAAAATGGGGATAATTATAGCAACTCCTCATAAGGTTCATAGGAATAAATGAAATAGTATCCACAATACTATTAGATTCAGGCCTAATGCAGAGTAAGTGCTCAAAAAGATTAGAAAATATTTAACATATCTTTTTCTTTTTAAGTAATAAAAAGTTACCTTCTTTAAACTTATGGGGTACTGCCTGCTATATGGGGTACTGCCTGATACACACACACACACACACACACACACACACAATTATTGAATGTCCAAAATGGTCTACATTCACTTTATCTTTAGCCCTCACCCTTCAAGATTACACACACACACACACACACACACACACCCTCTTCTTTTCTTTTATGTAGACTTAAGAGTAACCGTGGCCGGGCGCGGTAGACCACGCCTGTAATCCCAGCACTTTGGGAGGCCAAGGCGAGCAGATCAGGATGTCAGGAGATCAAGACCATCCTGGCTAACATGGTGAAACCCTGTCTCTACTAAAATATAAAAAATTAGCTGGGCGTGGTGGTGCATGCCTGTGGTCCCAGCTACTCAGGAGGCTGAGGCAGGAGAATTGCTTGAACCCAAGAGGCAGAGGCTGCAGTGAGCTGAGATCACACCACTGCACTCCAGCCTGGCAACAGAGCGAGACTCAATTTAA